CCCCAAAACCCCAAAACCCCAAAACCCCAAAACCCCTAAAAAATAAAATTATAGAAATTTAAAATACATTAGTCTCTAAAATTTCAAAATGAGTGAGAAAGCTCCTTCACAAACACCAGAGGAAGAACCTCAGGATGAACAGCCGGAAGAGGCTCCTAAAGAAGGCGAAGATGAAGCTGAGAATCCACAATCACAGATTGAAGATATCGAAATCTCTGATTTTACCGGTGACGAGGTAAGCTCCTTAATTTCATGGATTTTAGGAAATAATTTCAGCAATGACTGACCTGATGCCTCCCTCCTTCGAAGACGAGGAGATCAACGATTATGATCTATTGAAGGATAAGACTAAGAAGATCAAGCTAAAATCAGAGACTGATGGCAGTGCCAAGTCTTCAAGGACAGAAAGTGCAGATGAGTTTTTGAGGAACTTCTTTATTAAATTCGGTATGAATAAAACCCTTGAGTCCTTCCAAAACGAGTTCTATGAAAAGGTCAGAGTAGAAGGAAGTATAGACGAAGGCCTTGAGATGAACGATGAGATCCCTGATGTGTACCCCAGAAACCTCCAGCTCAGTGACGAAATTGCATTACTTCAGGAGCAGCTGGATGAAGCCAGGATCACCTCTGAGAAAGCCAGGAGTACTTATGATAAGTTGAACAAGCAGAGGGATTACCAAAAGATTAACCATAGAAGGGTTCAACAGGAAAAGTCCAAGCTTAGCAAGAACATCAACCAGCTTAAGAAGGTTTATGAGGTTAATCAAAATAAGTTCAAGGAGCTCACTCAGAAATATGAGAATATTATGAAAGAGAAAATGATTATGAAACTAGAAAAAGAAAGGCTCAATGCTAAGGTTGAGAATCTTGAGAAATCCTTCGCTCAGATTATGGAAGAGGGGTCTGATGATGAGCTCAAAGAGAAAACACAACTTAAGTCCAAACTTGACGATACTATGGTGAAGAAGACCAAAAAGAGGTTCCAGTCTGGTGATCCTTCTGAGATACCTGATGTTGATCCTGAGAATCCAGCTCTAGGAGAGATTAATGAGATAATGTCCTCCTCCCCTACCTTACTTAAAACCTTCAAGGGTCATTTAATGGGAGTTACTGGGCTCTCTTACAATCCCAATAAGCATATTTTAGCAACAGCTTCTGATGATTCTACATGGAAGCTTTGGTCCATCCCCAACGGAGAACTCATAATGTCTGGAGAGGGACACCAAGACTGGCTGGGAGACTGCTGCTTCCACCCAAGTAACCAATTTATAGCAACATGTTGCGGAGATGGAGAGGTTAAAATCTGGGATATTATCAATGCAAAGAGTGCTATTTCCTTCGCAGAGCACCCACAGGCTGCTTGGCAAGTAGACTACCATCACACTGGAGATTTCTTGCTCTCATGTTCGATGGATCAGACCATCAAGCTATGGGACATGAACGTGCCAAAGAGCAGGTTCACATTCAGAGGCCACATTGATAGTGTGAATTCAGTTCAATTCCAACCATATTCATGCATGTTCGTGTCTGGGTCAGCTGACAAGATGATTTCAATTTGGGATATTAGGAGTAACATATGTATTCAGACTTTCTTCGGGCACTTCAATGCAGTGAATTCGATCAATTTCTCCCCGAAGGGAGACACTATAGCATCAGCCGACTCTGACGGTATTGTCAAAGTCTGGGATGTCAGAATGGTCAAGGAAATCCATGAATTTGATTGTGGAATGGCCTCTGCTAACTCAGTCACTTTTGATGCAAGCGGAGAGATGCTAGTGATCGGTAGTGAAGATGGAACAATTAAACTCCAGAATCTGACAAGCGGCGAAAGAGAAGGCGAACTTAAGGGTCATGAGGACGCTGTTAATAAGGTCATAGTAGATACATCGAAGGATGGATATGTTATTTCAGCCTCTTCAGATTGCACCTTCAGAGTTTGGCAATAATTATAATGACTTGAATTCTCAATAATGACAACAAACCTTGGGGTTTTGGGGTTTTGGGGTTTTGGGGTTTTGGGGTTTTGGGGTTTTGGGG